GTCGTCCCAGCAGCAAACCTTGGCTGTCCCTTGGGATGCCCACCCCAAAGCATCCCCATATCTCTCTACCAGGCCTCACGCTCCTGCATCAGCAGGTTACAGGGCAACACCCCAGCACTGGCCAGCATTGTTCTGGCATCGAACAGCCGCAGATCACTTGAGTATAACCGCTTCAAAACCGCCTAGGATGGGTTGCTAAGAGTCCCTAGAGTCCTAAGACATTCATAAGAACCACCAACAAATTAGATAGGTGAAACCCATTCAATCCACCTACGACCACCACCAGCATGGTTGTGTTCAGCACGAACCGAAGCTCTTCCAGGCCTCATGCTCCCATCAGGTTAGGTTACAGAGTTGCACCACCTTGCTCCAGCACCGGCCAACATTGCTCCAGTTATGACCCCCGATGACCACTGAGACTTCCCCCGCACACAGCCCCCCAGAGCTCTCTATCAGGCCTCACGCCCCCACTAAGCTAGGTCACAGAGTTGCGCCACCTGGCTCCGGCTCCGGCCAGCGTTGCTCCAGCATCGGTGTTCGAGGGCCACCGAATTTTCAACCACTCTTCGCAGGATCACAGATGACCTGCCAGATAGCACCTATTCCTACAACCTCCTCGAGCGGCAAACCAAATGAAAAGAAATAGTAAACAGATGATAGACTTATTCAAGAAAGATCGCCCCTCCCTCCCCCTACCCCTCCCCCCTCAGCCCTACATTGCCTCCGCCGAGGTGAGTTACCCACTCTCCCTCGGCCCCAATTCCCTTTTAAAGATTGTAAGTGCACAGAAAAATAACATTTTGGGGCCTCTTTGTACTACTCATTGGATATATTCTCCTTTCCAAAAGGTCCCCTGCAAATAATCAGCAGGGTTTCCAACTTTCCATGCTTTTCGAAGGATGTCAATTGAACTGCTGGAAGATCTCGAGCGCGCCCGCAATATATTCTGGATTCGGATTCAGGTCTGTGTTCCAAGAGTTATGGGTTACGAACTTACTACAAACACTACCGTAACTGTCTCGTGTTTTTCTTTTTCCTTTTCTTACGTGTAGTGGCCCTAAGGGCCTCGCTTCACTCATCAGCACTTGCAGCAAAAATAAACGTATGGCTTGTATGGTTCCACTTTCTAGGAGAAGATTCATTCTAGTTTTGCACATTTGGTGAGTAGTGGAGTGAAGCCCTGAAAATCACATGCCGAGTTAGTAAGTCAGTAACCCATAACACGGACCTGAATTTGAAGCTACACCATATATAGCTGGCCTGCTCCCTCCCTACTACAAGTCCAGTGATGACCCATCCAGTACCACCCTTCTCCTGCCCACAGGACCCTTCCCAATTTTTGGCAGGGACCTTTTGAAGTCCCGGCAGGGGTTGTCTGAATAATGTGAAAGGGCTCTCTCTCTCTCTCTCTCTCTCTCTCTCTCTCTCTCTCTCTCTCTCTCCAGCGTGTATACACACATCACGGTTGCTTTTTTTTTTTTTTTTTTTTTTTTTTTTTTTTTTTTTTCGCCCGCGCATCTGCGATCAGTGCACCACGCACGGCGCACCACACTTCATCTACGCGCGGCAAGTATGTTTCAGACCCTTTTTTTTTCACAATAGTCACAAATTTTGTACCACTCCATTTTCTTTCTGGTACTCTCACGAAAAGAACTAAAAAAAAAAAAAAGTTGCGGCCGTGAACTCAAAAAAAAAGAAAAGGAAACAATGCTCTGGGCGTGATTGCAGTTGTATACATTCTTGGAAGTGGTAGTGTGAGTGTGCTCTCGTTGAGGGCATCTCAGCAAAAAAAGAAAAGGAAACAATGCTCTGGCCGTGATTGCAGTTGTATACATTCTTGGAAGTGGTAGTGTGAGTGTGCTCTCATTGAGGGCATCTCAGCCCCGTGGCCACGTTGTCAGATTCCAAAAACGCACACACACAAAAAAAAAAAAAACAGAAACACGTATTCGCCCGTGAAAATGGCTGGATACGTTCCTCTAAGTGCCAATGTGATGAGGGTTACAATCCTCTGAGGGAACACAGCCCGAGAAGATCGCGGATTCAGATTGTCAGATTCCAGAAACAGAAAAGAAAAAAAAACGAAACGGAAACACGCATTCGGCCGTGAAAACAGCTGGATACATCAGGGTTACAATCCTCTGAGGAAACACAGCCAGCGCAGATCACGGATTCCGCCCTGCCTCGTTGGCAGGGGACTCATAATAAACAAACGAGAAATAAAAAAAGAAAACAACAAGTTTCAGAATGTGATTGTCTTTGCTGTAGGATGCATTATGTAGAGGAAGACTGTGAGCACGGCCTCCTAGACTACCCTGCCCAACATCATTGCAGTGCATAAGCTTTTTTTTTTCCCCTTTTTCTTTCACGCGCAGGCAAAAGAAAACTAAGATTTATGGGACTCGCCGACCCTGGGCCGCATCACCGATTTCTTCGGGGACAGACCAGTACATCGTAATTTCCCAACACTGGCATGCTCTCGGAGGATCGAGAGGACTTGGCCATTGTGCTGAAGGTGGGACTCAAAGGTGGGGCTAAAGATGAGGATGTCGTCAAGGTACACGACGACACAGACTTCGAGGAGGTCATGGAAGATGTGGTTCATGGTGGACTGGAATGTGGCGGGGCATTGGTGAGTCCGAGAGGCATTACGAGGAACTCGTAGCACCAAAACCGAGAGCGGAATGCGGTCTTATGGGTGTCCTCCTCGCGGATACGGATCTGGTGGAAGCCACTGCGGAGGTCGATCTTGGTGAAATATTTGGCTCCACGGAGGCGACCAAGAAGTTCAGGTATCCGGGGGAGTGGGTACTTGTTCTTGATCGTGATGCGGTTCAAGGCACGGTAGTTTGTGCACATGCGGAGTTCCGAGGTGTCGTTCTTCTTGACGAAGAGACGACTGGTTCCAAAGGGGGAGGAGCTAGGCTTAATGAATCCTTTTTCAAGGAGTTCATTGAGCTGGCGCTTCATTTCTTCAGCCTCAGGGACGGAGAGTTGGTACGGAGGGCGGCAAGGAGGAGAATGGTCGGGCTCGAGATCAATGGTGTGCGATACACCTCAATTGGGAGGTAAACCAGCGGGCAACGACTCGGGGAAGACATCCTTGAATTCAGAGAGGAGA